TAAACATCTCGTCACGCGCAGTAGCCTATAGCCGGCTAGCCGAAACTCCTTCTTTATGTGTACGGGTGTGACGTAATGACGCAAAGACATGCTCGAATTTCCCGCGGAAACCCACCAGTACCACTGGAATTAAAATCATTATTACAAGCTAACCGTTTTGAATCTAGCTATGGCAAGCAGATAGTTTTGACCACTGGCAGAATAAGTTTTTTTAAATATAAGTATTTTGGATTATTTTTAACTTTAAAAAGTTACGGACTGGAGCTTTAACATTCATTTTCCTCTCCTGTGGTGAATCTGCTGTATTATAAAACAATTGCGAATATTGTAATTTATGTATTTATTTTTCTTTTCAATAATTATTTTGTATATATTTGTGGACTGAGGCAATCTAGATTATTATTATTATTAATAATGTTGTCCCGACTGTTTTATGTTTTTGTGTTTGTTCATATAACTTCAAAACGGTTAATAAAAAATAATAATAATACAAATCCTCATTGCCTCATCTTACGTATAGTTATCGCCCAATTAAATTTGCATATAAAAGTTACAAAAACAATATATTTTTTGAACATGTACCTTTCAATCAGTCACAATAAAACCGTTTTGGTTTTATTTCTGTCTCTGTTCTTTCGGTCTGGTCTTATTTCTGGTGGACATTGGCTCTCTCAAAGGTTTGGACTTGGTTACAGTAAAGCTGTGGCCTTTGTTGAGATCAGGTCTAACTGTGCACACACAACATATGTGGTGTAATTCTGAGGATGAACTGTGCTTGTTTAGAACCAGAATGTGTCCCCTGCTTAGAGCTGACAGCAGGTTCAGTCAAACATTGTGCTTTATAGCCGTAATGTTTGAAGAGTTTCTTTCTGTTTGTTGTTGATTTGTTTATCAGCTCCAGGAACTGTAATTCTGTGTTTGTCCTATGTATCAATCTCGATGTCTTTGTATACATATGTATGTCTTTCAGAGTAACAAAAAACACATTTCCTGAAATAATTGCAGGTTTGATGCTAAGACATGAAACATACCCTGCACAAGTACATGCAATCTGGATTTTAGTATGCACGCTTGAAATGTGTTAATGAAGCATTCATGTTTGCATAAAGTATTCAACCATTCAAAAGAATATAATTTTTTTAATAGAAATGCTTTAAAAAATACTTTTGATAATGATCAAACCTGACAGTAAAGACATTTATGATGTTACAGAAGATTTCTATTTCAAATAAATGCTGTTCTTTTGAACTTTCTATTAATAAAAACATCCTGAAATTTGTTTTCCACAAAATTGTCATCCACAAAAATATTAAGCAGTACAACTGTTTTCAATGTTGATAATAATAATAATAAGAAATGTTTCTTTAGTAGCAAATCCACATATTAAAATGATTTAAACAAGGATCATGTGACACTGAAGACTGGAGCAAAGATGCTGATAATTCAGCATTGCTGTCACAGGAATAAATTACATTTAAAGAGGGGTGGTATAATGCCCTTTTCACAAGATGTAAAATAAATCTCTGATGTCCCCAGAGTGTGTATGTGAAGTTTTAGCTCAAAATACCCCACAGATATTTTTATATAGCATGTTAAAGTTGTCACTTTTTGATGTTAAAGTTGTCACTTTTTGAGGGTTAGCAAAAACGCACCGTTTTGTGTCTGGCCCTTTAAATGCAAATGAGCTGCAGCTCCCGACACAGTGGGCGGAGCTTCAAGAGTGTGTGTTTTAGCAGCTCCGATTACCTCACGCAGACACAAGCTAAAATGTCAGAAACTGTTCTGCTATGGGATGATTATAGTATCAAAATGATTAACACGTGCAAGCACACTTATCAATGAACTTGATAGATGTTGCAGAAATGTTTTATCCATGCCTTTCAACTTGCGTGTGCAAAATTCAAAATTGAATGAATGTGAAGCAATTTGTACAAATGGAGACATTTTTGTGAATACAAATGTTTTCCTTTGTATTAGTGTATCATAATTTGCACATGCAACACAGAAGATGTGCATGTGTGGATCAGGTGACACGCGTGCATTCATTGACGTCTTTTCTTTGTCGATCTCATTTGATTCATTTGGATTTTGAGACTTTCTTTTCGCGGTTTTTTAAGCATTTCACAACCCACACACAAACAACTACAAATGAATAGGCCTGGTGCTAATTATTAATGTGTGCACAACTACCCATCTATTTGACAAATTCACAAATGTGCGTCACTACATTTAAACTAATACAATACAACTTGTGTGTGCAAAATACAAAACAAATACAAAACCTCGATTTTGTATTAATGTAGGCCAGAATTTGTGCATGCAACAAGTAAGATGTGCAGTTGTGGATCAGGTGACACGCGTGCATTCATTGACTCGTTTCTGAGTCGATCCTATTTGATTCATTTGGATTTTGAGACTTTCATTTCGCGGGTTTCGCCTTGCACGATCCACACACAGCTGTCTGAGAAAACCTGCTACCACTAGATGGCAGTATTCTGCTAAAACAGACAACGGCAGCATAATCAAGCGTTCTTCCGCATTTAAGACGCTTAATGAGAGTGATATTGAAGCACCAAATTTAGTACACAATAATATAGGCCTACCCTATTAATAAAGCATACTTTATAGAGGTAAACAGATAACATCAGATTATGAACACCCATAGAAAACCATAATAAAACGCTTAACGTGCAATCGCGCGTTGCATGTTCAATAAGGTGTTTGGCTACTGAGTTTAAATATCACCGTCTTACTGCATTGACGTTAAGCTTTTTCTTTATAATACTATGCTCTATGGGAGGGAAACTATATAGCCTACAGACAAGAGACTACATGAACATGAATAGAAAAACAATTTACAGTAATTTAAAAAATTGTACTGTTCAATCGAGATATTGGCTGGACATACAGTAACAGTAGGCTAAGTCAGTCTGCCCACTAGTCTTAACCTTGGAAGTATGTTCATTTGAATTAATGACTGGACGTTTATATTTTTTTGACTGTGAGTGGAGTTTGCAGATGGTCCCTTTATAAAATGTGGCGAATATCAAACTTCACTGCGCTCTCGGACCGGTTGCTCTCCCTTCACATGCAAAGTTAAACGCAACTGCAGAATTTCATGTTAAGCTTTTTCTTTTTAACAGGCTCGGGAAGGAACATTTTATTAACTTGAAACGCCGTACGTTGCGTTCATGTAGTCTCTTGTCTGTAGGCTATATAGTTTTCCTCCCATAGAGCATAATATTATAAAGAAAAAGCTTAACGTCAATGCAGTAAGACGGTGATATTTAAACTCAGTAGCCAAACACCTTATTGAACATGCAACGCGCGATTGCACGTTAAGCGTTTTATTATGGTTTTCTATGGGTGTTCATAATCTGATGTTATCTGTTTACCTCTATAAAGTATGCTTTATTAATAGGGTAGGCCTATATTATTGTGTAAATTTGGTGCTTCAATATCACTCTCATTAAGCGTCTTAAATGCGGAAGAAACGCTTGATTATGCTGCCGTTGTCTGTTTTAGCAGAATACTGCCATCTAGTGGTAGCAGGTTTTCTCAGACAGCTGTGTGTGGATCGTGCAAGGCGAAACCCGCGAAATGAAAGTCTCAAAATCCAAATGAATCAAATAGGATCGACTCAGAAACGAGTCAATGAATGCACGCGTGTCACCTGATCCACAACTGCACATCTTACTTGTTGCATGCACAAATTCTGGCCTACATTAATACAAAATCGAGGTTTTGTATTTGTTTTGTATTTTGCACACACAAGTTGTATTGTATTAGTTTAAATGTAGTGACGCACATTTGTGAATTTGTCAAATAGATGGGTAGTTGTGCACACATTAATAATTAGCACCAGGCCTATTCATTTGTAGTTGTTTGTGTGTGGGTTGTGAAATGCTTAAAAACCGCGAAAAGAAAGTCTCAAAATCCAAATGAATCAAATGAGATCGACAAAGAAAAGACGTCAATGAATGCACGCGTGTCACCTGATCCACACATGCACATCTTCTGTGTTGCATGTGCAAATTATGATGCACTAATACAAAGGAAAACATTTGTATTCACAAAAATGTCTCCATTTGTACAAATTGCTTCACATTCATTCAATTTTGAATTTTGCACACGCAAGTTGAAAGGCATGGATAAAACATTTCTGCAACATCTATCAAGTTCATTGATAAGTGTGCTTGCACGTGTTAATCATTTTGATACTATAATCATCCCATATTCTGCCATTTATGTTTAAACCGGAGTCAGACAAAGATGGAGAGACTAAGAAGAAGTGACAACATGTAGAATGCAACAGGACATCTCTGAATGGTTAGTTGATGAATTTATGTTGCTGATGTGGAGTTAACTATCTTCAATTAGCATATTCTGTCATGATAATCTATAAATCGCTTGTATATGAACTGTTGTGAGATGCACACAGAGTGACTTTCTATTGCATGTGAAAAGACGGATGCTAAAGTTTGAGCTGACTCACAAATGTGCTGGACTACAACAACTCTTCCTCTTCTCAACATGGACTGCGTGGGGGTTTATGTAAATGTTAGGGTTAGTGATGTCACTAACCCGGGAGGAAGCTCGTGTAGTTCCTACCAGCCGTTTGTTGTAGTCCTTAAAAAATGATTTCTTTAAAAGCAAATCTCCCTTTGCTTTGAACTTTGAGCGTTGTAACTTTGCAGATGTTGTTTATACTCAAACAGCAACATTACACACTAACTAAAGTTAGAAAAGTGAAATCATAATCAACCACCCCTTTAAAAAAATATTTAAAATAGAAACAAATATTTTAAATTGTGATAATATTTAATAATTTTACTGTTTTTAGTGTATTTTTGATCAAATAAATGCAGCGTTGGTGAGCATAAAAGACTTTCTAAAACATCAATAAATCTTGCCGACCCCAAACTTTTGAATGGTAGTGTACAGTATTTCTCTGGCCTAACAGTTCCATTTTTGTACGTGTGTGTGTGTGTGTGTGTTAGACAAGAAGAAGGAGAAAAGGGCAAAAGGAGCAGAGGAGGTGCGTGGCAGGAGGAACGCCATTAGGCTGAGTAGAGAGTTCACCGTGGAGACGGTCGTGGTGGCTGACGCAAATATGGTGCAGTACCACGGTGCTGAGGCTTCCCAACGTTTCCTGCTCACCGTTATGAACATGGTGAGTCACATATTCACATAATATATAGGCTGACATATGTAAATCTTTTCTTTAATTTTTTTTTTAATTATTAGAAGTAAATAGTTCTCACTTTAGATTAGGGAAAATGGAAAACTGTCATTAATTGAGTGCTTTAAACCGACCTTTATTAGACATTAATCACATTAATTTTCAGTGTTCTTTAAATTGTTTACAAATACATAATTATTTAAATACACACACACACACACACACACACACACACACAGTTGGCATATGTTGTTTTATACTGTTTAAACTAAATTCTATCCTGTTACACTAACTCTACCCCTAAACCTACCCTACATAATACTAATGCAATTAATGTCTAATAAAGGTTGGTTTAAAGCACTTAATTAATGACATTTTCTTATTAGCCGTGACCCTAATCTAAAGTGAGAACTATTTACAACTAATAAGTTGTTAACAAAGCATAAACAAATTATTTAACTCTTTTTTCATATGAGCTAATTAAATAAAAATATATTTTTAGTTTTTAGTTTTAGTTAACAATAATAAACCTGGTTTAGATTGTTTACACTACATATTTTGCATGTTTTGCATGTAACAGAGCCTTTGGACACTAGAGTAACGGATAGCGGTTGGGAGAGAGTGTGTGAGTGTAACATTTGCTCTGCTCACCGCAGCTGTGCTGTGTGTGACATTCATGAGTCGGCAGCTCTCGGACACACACATTCACGCACACACACTTCTCTTTTATCACATGGGCTCTGTTACAAAAATGAGAGTGCTGTCTATTAGCCAGATTTACTAAACAGGGTAATTTAGCGTGAGAGCGCAATTCCAGTGGAAAGTGGAAAGTTCTGCTTGTGATCTATTGACGAAGCGCAAATTAAAGAACACAGACGCAGCCGGATCATTTCCAAATGACCAATGCAATCTACCAGTTAGTAGACGTTCATTCTTTGTCGGGTCTCTCTTATGTCTACGTGTTTTGCCACCATCTGTTGCCTTTCGGATATTTGTAACTCGTGTTGGAACTTTATTCTTCTGTCTTCATCTGTCTGCCTGCAACCACTTGTGACAGAAGAGCAGACCTCCAAATTTGGATATAAATGCCCAATTTATTTTGGTGGCTTAGGAGAGCACCAATCTTTTGAACTTTAGCCATCTTGCCATCACCTGCCCCCTCGACGACAAGACCCTTGAAGACCTTGTTCTGGATCGGGGTGAACTTTAACCACCCCATAGACCTCCCAGACAGACACCACAAGACTTAACTGGAGGGAGGCCGTTTTTAGGTGTCTGGAGAGCGTCCGGCCCCGTTTCAGAGCACAGCCAAATCCAGAGCCGGATTTACATCTCGGCCCGTCAGCCTGACGTCTCCGCCTTGCCACCAGGTTCCCTCGTCCCACCGGCTCCCCCGTGGTCAGTTGTCGCTCTACTTCCGCCACAGACATACGGGCTGTCCGCTGCGCTCCGTCCCTCCACCCCTACGGCTGCAGCGGGTTCCTCCTCCTTTTTGGCATCGCCTCTGTCCTCTGTCACACCGGCATTGCACCAGTCCTCGGGTACTCCAGCTCCGCCTCCGACGCTCGTCTCAATGGCATCGCCTGGTTCTCCAGCACCAGCGATGTTGCTCAGCTCCATTGACCCGGCTCTGTCTGTGTCATCTGATCCTGGGTCCTCGTCTCCTTTGGTCATCCCCCATATGTCGGCAGCCACACCTACTACATCGTGTCTCCTCCCGCCTTTATCTCCTCCGTGGGCTGTCGGCTCTGTGGAGCTCTGGGTCTGCGCCATCAGGCTTTCTCCACCTTCACCATCGGGGTCTTGTCATCCTGCCATCACCATCCTTTCACCACATCCTGCCACTAACCCTTGGCCACATCCTCGTACTCCTCCTAACTGGCAATTTCCACCAACTGCGGAACGGCGGCGGAGTCAATAGGTTTCCATTAAAGTCAATGTGTGTATTTTCACTGACTGCGGAACGGCTGCGTTCCGACTCCGTCCCAGCTCCGGCGATCCGCAACCCTCCGGAGCAGATACACAGAGCTTCTATTTTTGCCGGATGCCGGAGAGCTCTGCAGCAATTCAGCACAGGGCAGATTGTTATATCGCGCGATCATACGTGAATTCGTTCCGCAACAAATCCGGACCTGGTGGGTATTGAAGCACGGCGGAGCACGGAGCCGACACGCAACGGAGCTGATCCGCAGCCGTTCCGCAGTTGGTGGAAATCCGGGGTAAACCCCCTCCATCCCTCCCTCTGTCATCATTTTGCTACGCCGCGAGGTCGCGCCTTTCCGGAAGGGGGCGTGATGTCACTAATATGTTCAGTTAGATTGGACTACATGGACTTTCAGTTTGTTTTCATTTGTCACGTGTCTTCCCGCCACTTGTTTGTCTCCCTGGTTATAGTCATTATTAGTTTGTTTGTTTCAGCTGTGTTCTATTGATCATCTTGTTTGAGTTCCTATTTAAGTTGTATCCTCACGTTCATTCTCTGTCTGGTCTCTTACATTTATGTGTGTTGCCACCATCTGTTGCCTTTTGGATATTTGTAATTAAACTTGTGTTGGAACTAGGGATGCAAATTATCGATTAATTCATTAATCATTAATTGATTGACCTTATCGATCGATTAACGATTAACTGATAAGCGGCTATTTTCCTGAGAATGTACATTTCTCACGGTATCAATAGAGTCTTTAACATAAAAAGCAAAATATTGCTTATATACTGAATAAAAATGCATGTTATATTGCTCAAATTATGTTTTATTGTAACAGTTGGGATACGGTACAGAATGGGATTTATGTAGTTTAACAAAATAAATTATGCACAGAAAATTAAAATACATAAAAAATAATTGTGCACTGGCTCACCCGTTGCAAACATTAAGCAACATAAAATAAATGTTAAATAAAAATCTATATGGGTAGGCTTAGCCTAAACTATATTAAGTCTATATATAATAATCTATCTGGTGAACTACTTGTATGAAAAACTTGAAACATTAGCAGCAGCACTTATAATCCCCCTTGGTCTGAGAAAGGTAACAGTAAGATTACTAGACCTGGAAACTTCAATTATAGAACTGAAGGGATGTCAATTTTCACAAATTCCCATGATCGATCGTCATTTAAATTAACAATCAATTATGCGTCTGCTGCAGTGGCATATGGCCAACAGCATGACAGGGTTTGCAAATGCTGCTCAAAACGCTATGTTCCTCACCAAATGAATGAGAATGGTTTTTAATCTAAATAAAGGGCTAGTAGGATTGTAAAATGTTTTGATGTGATTTATAATGAAATGAAATTAATTATTTAATAATCAAATATAACGACTAATACAACGTGTCACCAACGCCGCCTCAGATGCGTGCTTGTCCACTTGTGACAAGCGTCTGGTTTAAGACATGCTTTTTTTGGGCGGTAAATAATGTCACAAACACCAGTAAATTGACCAGTGCAAACCTTAGTAAATCACCTTGCATGAATCATTTAAATACTCTCCTCCCATAAATGTTACGTCTGAAAGGGAAACTCCTACAAATGCATATGCAATAAGGTCAGCCACTAAAATAACTTTTCATGTCTTTTCAGCGCAAATTTTTCTTGATTTGTGTATTTCAGTTCATCCGAGAGTGAATGACCTCACTCTCATTCAGAACAGGTTCGTAAACACAGTGTGCGCTGCGAGCGTCTGGAAACAAGCCTGTGTAATAAAGTACAAGCAAACTAAATACTGATCTGTAAAACAGTCCACAAAACAACACCTCACTGCATCTGCTGTGGTAAAGCAAAGCTCATCAATTCAAGAACGGCCCTCTCTACTGTATCTCTAATGACAATGATGAGTCATATGAAGATTAATGTAAAAATAAATGAATTGCCCAGATGTGTGGGATTTTGTAAGAAAGTACACCTCCTTTTGTCCTCCCTGAGGACCTTATAAATCCATTCTTCACAGACGAGTTCGACAACACTGTGGAAAATCGTGCTGTTATTCTGATATTCCCCTCCAGATGCTGGTTACTCATCAATATCTGAATCCTCCCTTCAGTTGAGCTCTATACTTCTTCATTAACTTTACCCCGCATGGAATTGTCGTTGATTTTTTTTTCTGTACAATAGTACAAATTTTGTATTGTGAATCACACAGCTTACTCTGTGAGGGTGATGAAAGCTCAACTCTATTTCTTTCTTGATTATTTTATCTTCCTTTATATAGAGATACTGCATGTTGTAAATCAGAAGTTATTGTGTAGCAAATTGGCTGAGATTGAATTGGCAAATGGCGATGCTTTTACTCAGTATTTACACAAGATTTAGCATTATCTGCGCAAGGTGTCTCTAGATTTTGGAACTGTTTATTGGCCAACGGTATTTAACCAATAAAACCTCACCAATACAAAAAACTGAGTCATTGAATCAGTGTTTTGAATTAATTAATTCAAAAAGACAGTTTGAACTAATTCACAGAAATTAATCGAACTTACCAACTGAAACTCCATTTTTGCTTTGTTACAATTGAGACAATGACTTCAAAGAGTCTACAGTATTTTCTCAGATTTATTTTATATTCACTTCAATGTAATGGTATTAAATGTCTGTTAAATGCCAAGCAGGCATGTTATAAGCTGATGTTGGTATCAAAATAGCCCAATATCAGATAACTTATCGGCCTAGCTGTTATATCGGGCTATTTTGAGACCAACGTCAGCTTATAACGTGCCTGCTTGGCATTTAACAGACACTTTATCTTTGACTACTAAATAGTAGATTCTTCATGTTTTGAGTGTATACATATTTTAACTGAATTTTAAGTAAGTATTCCATCAAAGCTTTGTCTTTGGTTATTGTTAAACCCAAACTGGTCAACTGCTAAACAATAGCATAACTTTCAAAACTGAACTGTGGCGAGCAGGACGAGGTCGAGGGCCGTGAGAGAGCGGTGTGAGGCCGGTGGCGTGATGAGTGATGAGCGACACCTGCGCTACGCACCGGTCTCACATCTCTCATGGAGGAGCGGAAGCATAAAAGGAGGAGCGACGACCGTGAAGATCAGTAGTCACGCCACTGGCCTCGCGCCGTCCTCCCACAGCCCTCGACCTCGTCCTGCTCGCCACATAAACTTTGTAATATTTATTTTTATATGTGATATTGCATATTTGATCAGTAAGTTAATTCTCTTGTCTTGTTCTCTTTGTATAGGTTTATAACATGTTTCAACACCAGAGTTTGGGTGTGTGGCTCAACATCCGGGTCACCAAGTTAGTTCTTCTGCACACCCGTCCAGTAAGTGTGACCCTCTGATGTACACACACTAGATTAACAACCAGATCTATGTATGTAGTTACTCAACCATTTATCCACTCCCTTGCTGTTTTATTCCTATTTTCAGGACCTGCGATGTTATCTTGCTCAGTGTGTGTGTGTGTGTTTTAACTACTGGTTTTCCCCTCCATTTTATTGCTGGATTGCGAGAAGGTTTTTTTGAGTACTCACATCTAAAGTGTAAAATTACGTATGTCAGGATGTCACTGAATAGCCATTAGTGTGTGTGTATTGTTGCTTCAGGGCAAACCTTTTGGACTCACAATCTCTGATATCAGGAAGATAAAATCAGGGAAATTATGGGTTTAGAGATGCTTGAAACAAACTGACTTCAAGTCCAGCCGAATTACACCAGCAATTTCCAAAGCCATTTTGATGGCGTTGTGTGATCGATGAATCAATAAAGACCACGTTTATGTCAGTGGAAGTTCATAAAGAAATTAAAGATCCCATGGAGACTTTTATTTTTGATGCTAAACAATATGTGCTGGTGTACTTCTACAAGTTGACAGACTTTTATTAGATACACATTTAAAATTGGACCAAAAATATTGCTGATCATGCATGCAGAGACACACACTAAAAGTTTGGAATTGGTAAGATTTTTTAATGTGTTTGAAAGAAGTTTCTTATGCTCACCAAGGCTACATTTATTTGTTCAAAAATACAGTAAAAACAGTAATATGGTGAAATATTATTACAATTTAAAATAACTGTTTTCTGTTTGAAAATAAATAAATAAATAAATATATATATATAAAAAAAATTATTCCTGTTATGCAAAGCTGAATTTCCAGCATCATAATTCCAGTCTTCAGTGTCACATGATCCTTCAGAAATCATTCTAATATGCTGATTTGGTGCTCAATGTTGAAAATAGTTGTGCTGTTTCATATTTTTGTAGAAACAGTTACACATTTTTTTCAGGATTCTTTGATGAATAGAAAGTTCAAAAGAACAGCATCTATTTGAATATGATTTTGTAACAATGTAAAAGTTTTTTTTAATTTTGGTCAATTTAATGTGTCCTTTTTGTTATATAAAAGTATTAAAATAATAAGTAAATAATCATTTATAAAAAAATCTTACTGATCCCAAAGTCTTGAACGGTAGTGTAAACAAACTTTTGTCTAATAAAACACTCTCTATAATGACTAGGAAGTAGCAAAGTAGCAAATCATGATTCATGTAAACACCATAAAGGCTGTTTAAGCCCAAATTTGATTTGTGTGCCCCCTTTCCTGTGTGAATAGGAAATACTGCTCTCGCCAATTTTATTGGGTCTTTAAAGTAAAATCCACTGGCTTGAAGAGTAAACTATTTAGTCCTGTAAGTAGATGTCATATTTAATTTGAGGCAAATGAAAACGAGGCTGTTTGGGACAGAATTCATTATGTCTTACTGTTTTAAAGGAAAAAATAAATCCTGCAGTTCACCAGCATGTAAGGTGACTGGGCAGATCATGTTTAAATGACCACTGAAGGTTATTCCTTACAAAATAAAGTGGGAAACATTTAATTTAAACCTTTGCTGTATCATAGTCTTATAATTATATTCTAATGCTCAGATATTGTCCAATGTGCTCTCAGGAAAAGCTGAAGGTGGGCCATCATGGCGAAAAAGCCTTGGAGAGCTTCTGTCACTGGCAGCATGAGGAATACGGCGCACGATACCTGGGTAGCAATCATGTTCCTGGGAGCAGAGATGACCCTCCTCCTGTGGACGTGGCTGTGCTGGTCACCAGGTAATGATTAATCATGCTTAAACAATCATAGAATGACCCCAACAATTATTTCATTCATTTCATTTATTTAATAATTCATTTATTTAAAGAAAGATAGCACGAGCAAAACACTGTTAGTAGATATATTACTGGATCATGTTCATAGTTAATGTAATGAACCCCACACCTGTGTGAACTTGAGTAGAGCTTCATACATCCACAAAAATTACCAATACGCCAGTTGATTAAAAGACATTGACCAAAAACAATGAAGAAAGTTAAAAGATCATGCAGCATTTGAGATCCTTGCAAAGTAATGCAATTGCATTCAGATATTTTAAGTGTTATTTCTGCATCCAAACACTTTTTGGGCCTATCACATCTGCACAGATATTATTCTTCATTTCGCTTTTCTTTCTCCATCGCCGTCCATCTTTTCTTTTTCTTTTTTTTCTTCGTTTTTCACTTTCCGTTTTGTCACTCACATCCTTTGAAGTCCTGTATCTTTCAGCTCTTGGTTGTTTAAGACAGATTTAACCTTTTTTCATCCCTTTTATTGAGATCCAACACAATTTGAACCTGCCAGTATCTGAGCTGTGATAGACCCTAATAATCCTTCTGTCAGCGAGGCAAGTTTGCTCTCAATCTTCATCTTTTCAGTACGACAGATTACTAGCGGCGGCCAAAACACTGCATTCCCGGCGTGGGATTAGGGTTTATTAGCGTACTGTAATTTTCAGAGTCAAAAAAAGTAAAGAAAAAGAAAATCCTTTTGTTAAAACGAATCATGTGAGCCTGTCAGATAATATCTGTCATCCCGGACCCTAGAAGCTCGCAGGGAGAGCGAGCTCACACAGAGAGTGCCTTTGTTCCCCCTGCGCCGGGTTAAATATGATCTCCGCTGGCATACAAAAGGAACTCTCTATAAGGATGCGAGGTACAGGAGCAACATCTGTCTCGTCTTGCATGCCAAGATGGCTCGGGGCAGCGAGAATGCATCAAAGCAAATTAAGGCTTGACAAGGTGCGCCTCGGTTTCCCCTCTCACAGCTTTGTAGGAGTTGACAGTGGCTCGTCCCTCGCTCGGCACTTGCTGACTGAAGAAAGATTATCTTCTTAACGTATCTACGGCCACATAGATGCGCTTTTCACTGCTCTTCTAAGAGATTAAACTCATTCTGAACACAATCAGCCCTTCACTAAGACCCCTCATAAAATCCTAACTTACCAATCTGTGCTCATTTTGTGCATTTTAAAGAACTATTTCAGGTGGAGTGATGCTGTCTCAGTACAGCTACCATGTAGTATCATCCACAACAATGCATTCACAATCTAAAATTATTACAGGTTAAAGTGAGCAACTGCTGTCCTTATGAATATGGAACAGAATTTACAGTGATTCACTCCTGAATTTAAATGCAGTTGTCACTCTCGTAACTTGAGTGTGGACCAGGATTGTGCATCAAAAGTTGAATGTGCACCAAAGTCTTGTTTTCATGTTTTATGATAGATAGATAGATAGATAGATAGATAGATAGATAGATAGATAGATAGATAGATAGATAGATATTTAGTAAGCTAGTTTTAAGCTGCGTTCCATCCAAAGTCAGATGCAGGATATATCCCATTTTATATCTCTGACTTCTGACCATAAATCCTTGATGCTCTGAGGTTGATGTACAAAGAAACAAAATAGAAACTCTGCTGTTATATTTGAAGTAGGGCTGCACAATTAATCGAAATTAAACCACACGCGATTTGGCAAAGGCTGCGACTATTTTTTATGCGCAGTATTTCTGCATATTTTTTTTATGCGCAGCTTGTCAGTGCAGCACGGCTCTGTGATCAGTAGTAAATGCTGCTCCATCTGAAATCCAGAGAGGGCTCTCAACTGCACGTTATAAGCGACTCAAACTCGCAGTGCTTTCAGATGGAGCAGCATTTACTATTGATCACAGAGCTGTGCTTCACTGACAAGCTGTGCATAAAAAATAATTGCAGTCCTTCTATTGCACTGACTTTCCGAGTTGAAAGGAAAGCTGCATTAGTTACTGTTATGCAGGATGAGGTTAGAAATGGTTTCGCCTGGACAGTTTTGCAGCAGTTGTGACAGTCCCCCATGTCAGCGCTAATGGAAATCAGTATGCCTAACTGTATCCATTCCTAGCCATCCTTGGCTAAACGGGATTCGTCTTCAGCACCCAGCTGTGTGTCACATTCACTTAAGCTGTGAAGGAACAGGAAGGGAAACCAGAAGCCCACATCAAAAACGCTTTGGAATAGAGGGACATCAGACAGCCAAAGAGACATGTTGCAGAGCACGTATGTTGCAAATGTTTGATGATTGTAGACTCAAAACAAGAGACATCCATCTTAGCTGTCTGATGTTTAGTAAACAACAACTTCTTTGTTAATTCTCTTTTTCTAAAAGCCTATTTGATTTATTTTTTCTGTCTAACCATCTCAAAGGTCCTTTGATGTTTTAGTTTGTCATTTGTTGCCCACTTGTCGTACCACCAGTGTTGGGGAAACTACTCTAAAACTAGCATCCAAAACATCAACAAACTCGTAATTTAAAGTACACTATGCAGTCAAGGTGTTCTTTTGAAAAAAGTTACACTGTAGAAAATTTACACTAATTTCAACTTGCTGCCTTAAAATCGAGTTGTATAGTATAATCAACTTGGTTCAACTTAAATTACATTAAACTGACTGACTTAGGAAAAGTTTTTTTTTTCAAGAGACACAAATTTGTAGTTTTAGTTAATGATAACAGCACAAGTTAATTTCCAGTAAATTACATCACAAATTTTCAACATCATTTGGTGCTATGTGAATAATAATAAGCCTAAAAGATGGAAAACCATTGCATAAATACCAGATGTTTCTTGTTCCGTATGTGAAATTGACTATTAAAGATATGTAATATTATATTAGACATTGTTATATTAATTATATAACTTGAATATCAGATCATTTATTTCTAAAATCAGAGCAGTATTTATCTGGCACAAAAACAGACATTACTGAAATAATTGAACAAACACTAAATGAAACAAACTAGATAATTATGACTTTTGTAGTTTTCTGGCTCTCCTCACCTGTTATTTATTGTTTAAGCTCAAAAATGGTTTGGAGTCAAAAAGTCAAATTACAGGCTTGGAGGCTGCTGGAGTTCAGCCCTGACAATGCCAATTACAAGAGGAAGCACAGCAGACATCTTTAGCTTTTTGTTGTTAGAAGATTTGAAGGCATTGAACATGGTTGTGCTAGACTCAGGAATGCTTTTCAATCCTAAATGTCGACTGCTTATTGAGAGATTCAAAGGTACCTTCTGCTTGAACTGACGTTGACCCTGATGGGTTGTTTAATTGTGCTTTAGCAAGGAGCTTGTCTAGTTTGTTTGTTAGTGTTTGGTGCAACTCTTATTGTGCTGAGAAAGCAAAAAAACAAAGTCTCTTAGATATTCTTGGATGTCAGATGGGTTTCCTTTGGTGGCGGGGAGGAGCTGTGCTGTCTGCATGTAATGTGGGGACAAATCTGTTTGAATTCAGGCCAGTCAGGAAGTGGGGGGGCCAATGCTGCTTTTTGTAAGTGAGACTGGATGATATCCAGACATCAAGTCTTGTTTGGTGTTTGCATTAGTCTCTTTCTTTTTTTTTCTGCCTCTCGCTCGCTCTCTCTGCCCTCTTCTGTCTGTCTGCACTTCTCCAGAGACACCCTGAGCCCTGAAGTATGTATAGTGCAACTTCACATTGATTTGTTCCCAGATGCTGACGTGAAGCTGTCAGCACCTTGCTCAGTCATCAGATGGGTACGTGGGAAAATGGCCCCTTTTAAAGCATCTGTTTGCCATTTCACACCCAGCCCTGGCTATTAGACATTCACTGTTTGTTCCATAGGACCACAGAGCTCTGACATAATTCTCAGCACACTCACATTAGCCCTGCTGTAGTGGCAAAAAACTATTAGCACTGATCTTCAGTCAGTCAGTCAGTCAGTCAATCAATCAATCAATCAATCAATCAAGTCTGGATGAAACTATCAATTTTTGGTAAAATAACGGGTTTCCATGTTTTATGGGGACTTTTCATAGATATAAGGATTTTTATTCTGTACAAACTGTATGTTCTATCTGCTAACCCTAACTCTATCCCTAAACATAATCCTCACAGAAAACATTCTGTACTCAAATACTCATTCTATACTCAAATGTCCTCCACAGTCACCAGATCTCAATCTAATAGAGCACCTTTGAGATGTGATGGAGAATGGGAGATTCACATCATGGATTTTTAGGTTTTACATTTTTAAATGCATTTTTTGGAGTGAAATGGTTTTATTTTATTTAATTTGTAAAATATTTTTTTGGAACATATGTTACCACAAAAATATTTTTAAATGCAAAGTTTATTTTTGGGGTAAAATATAACCCCAGACATGTTCTTTTACAAGCTTTGTGTGATTCACCTTAGTGGGTTTGATTGTCAGTTTTGAGTGCTAGTTAGTGGTTTTATGCATCAGAAGTCACAGCAACGCTCTACTGCCATCTCTGTCTGAAGTTTTGGTGTCATGTTGAGTTCATGCTACTCTTGTCTGGTTGCTCTTGAGCATTGTGGCTGGTTCAATCCTCATGAAACCTAAATCGTTTCAAGAGTCGAGCATGACATGAGCTGGATTCGATTAATTTGCTGATATTTTGAAGTGTTACTCCCTAAACCAATAGAGGAAAGCCACATAAGGGGACAGGAGCACACGGTTTCAGCAACAGCGCTGTGGTTTTCCCACATTATTTAACCATCAGAGGTCAGGTTCGGGCAAATGGCATCCAAACAAACACAAAACATTTTCAGATAAACATATACTTCTCAAGATATTCTATATCAGCTTTTCATTCCGTTTCCTAAATCTTTTTTGCTTTTTATGTTTGCTTTTTTCTTTGTCTTGAAACTGGTTAGTTTATTTCTCTTATACATAATTAATATGCAAGAAAATGAATGTGCACCAGGAGGCAATGCACATCTCAGTTATGTTTCTTTGTGTCAATCTAGCCTCAGATGTCAGTTGTCTTGTGAGAAACAAGAGACACAAATTAGTCAATAATTGACATACTGAAAGAACACAGAGTTATAAAGTAATAATTAATGTAAATAGAATACAGCTCAATTCGTTCTTGGAAGAATTAAAGGAGAAATGTTTGAGTTCATATTAGGAGCTCTGACTTTTGGTATCTGAGGATAGTGTGGACACCGCTTTTCCACAGTCGGGCCGAACGGTTCTAAGAGTGGTAAGGACCGGTTCCAGTTATGTTTTCACTTGAGCCTGGTTCGGCATGGCAAGATTACAAACCGTTCTTGACCCGGAGTTCTCTGCACGGTTGGGATGGTTGGCACTGTTGCCTGGCTACCAGTTTCTCTGTAGCTGGCTAAGTGGGCTATTTGAGTGATGTAAACACAAATTAATAAAAAAAAATGTAAAGAAATATCGGATCATCTTCCATTACGCGGTCGCTATTTACATCTCATACCATCAGTAAACCGATGCGTTACCAAGGCAACGACTGGCACATTTGTATATTACATTCCAAAGAGCTCCGTTATCAGCCCAATAGTGGAAAATGAAACCATATCAGTACCGGCTGGCCCGGATCGACACAGAATGGAACGGTTAAGCAAAGAGAACGGTTTGGCCCGACGGTGGAAATGTGGCCATTGTTGAGATCTCTGACACATGTGAGATTAAATGCAGGAAATATGATGAGACAACAGTCTACATATGCTCTCTGTTTAATCTCAATGCTGCGAAAATGTAATATATGACCGAAACATTATTTGTGATTTTTCTTTCCTATTAGCTAACATCTGTGTCTCTGGTCTTGTTTTCTCTCTAGAACAGATTTTTGTGTCCACAAAGATGAGCCTTGTGACACAGTTGGTGAGTATGTCTGGCTGAACTGCTCTTTTTTTTGTTGAATGCTTCTCATAGTTTCTTTGTGGAATGTAAAATACCAAAAAAAAATACAATGGAATATCTCTTGCAATCTGTAAAAAGCCAAAATCTTAAAGTCCTTTTAAGCCACAAAAGGACATTTTACAGTGATTTTAGCACAATAGCAACAGCATAGCAACACTGTAGCAACCACCCAATGACCAACGAGCTTAACGTTCTTCAAAACATGTACATTTTAAAGTGCCCCTATTATGATTTTTCGAATATTACCTTTCAATCAGTGTGTAATAGCTGTCTGTGACTGTAAACAGCCTGCAAAATTGTAAAGTCGAAAGTGCACAATAAATAAAGTTATTGGGTCTCATTCACTAATATTTGCGTGGATTATTTCGTATTTGTACGCACAGGAGAACTTCTCACGAAAATATCCGCCTAATTCACAAGACGTACACACATGAATTTGTTCTTAACATCGTTCTGTGAATTTGGAGTATTCTAAATGAGCGGGCGTGTGCACGAGGTTAGTCATTTGCATAAAACACGCCCAAACATCTCAAAATAAGGGCTTTCCGTATACGCTTTCCTTACAGCCTTTCGCCACTCTCGTCAAACTTGCCGCTGTTTGCAGACGCGCTCTCGCCCGAACCTCGAGCAATGCCAAGTGTGCCATTCTCACAATAAATTCAGACCCAGATTAGCAGACCTCTCATTAGCCAGCTGTACATGCGCGTATTTCTGCGTTATTCAGAGAAACCTCGCAGATTTTCTTACTCATTAACTGTGTATGATGAAATTAAGATAAAATTAAATTGTATTATTTAATAATTTTATTATATAATTTTGTATATGGATTATTTAATACAATTAATGCAACATACTTAAATATAATTATAGTCGTGTTAGGATGATATATAACTTCTCAACACGATTATAAGGCTGACCGAGTAAGTGCTTTTTGCGTGCGATTGGTTTCAGTTGTTCCTATATTTTTTTCGTAAATTTAGAATACATATTTTTTGGTGAATCGTGATTTGTTCTAAAAATCGTTTGTACGCACAAATACGTACGCATGCTTAGTGAATGAGACCCATTGTCTCCCAAAAGAAATAATTGACTCTGAACCGCCTAAACGAGTCGTCAGGAATGCCAGTCTCACTTCCGTGACCTGCATACGTGACCTCACAAACAACGTCTACTTTGACCCGCCCTCAACTGCTGTACACACTGTAGCTGGTTCATGTTGTGCATGTCGGGAAAATGCTGTTTTCTACTCTGCAAAAGCAAATTCTCTTTGTAAAAACTACCAAAGGATGAGGATGTGAAGAGTCAGTGGTTAAAATTACCACAGCGATACAACAGCAGTATAACCTTTTCATGGGCGTCAGTTTGGTTTGAAATGTGGTGGGGACAGAGACGCATTCGGAAGGGCATTTTCAAAAGTGCTGGGTACAATGACGCATTCATTCTTTTTTCTCTTTCGCGCAGGTCATGGTTTGAAAGACGATGTCCTGTAGCTTACTGATTGAAATAAATAAAAATGTATGATGTCCGACCAAAAATGTGATGGTACTTTGGGTTTAATTGGTCGTAAAATGAGATCTAATATAATGTTGTCAGAATCGAGAATTTTTACGTGAATAAATACATAGATCCGCCTGCGTTGCATATGTATTGTGATAGTCCAGTGGCAGAATTTTTGCCAAGCGTGTCGGGGGTTGAGGGTTCTAGTCCGCACTCGGTATAGTTTTTTCCCCTCATCAAAACCGATAATGTTTATCAGTGGTTGTATATCAAGAATCTTGATATACTTTATCACTGATAAACATTATCGGTTTTGATGAGGGAAAAAAAAACTATACGAGTGCGGATTAGAACCCAGAGAAGCAGGGACACGTTTGTGTGCATTTTGAATTGTGATTTCTCTGGAACGAATAGAATCTCTGCAACGGATTGAAGCGCGCGTCCGAGTGAAGACAACACATTTCAGCGCTAGATCGCGTCTTATTTAACAAATGAATGAAACGAATGCTGCTAGTTAACTGGAGATGTTTTATTTGTATTGTTACATCCGTGACGCGAGATGTTTCAAAAGTGGTGGGGACAATATCGACCCTGGCAAAAAGTGGTGGGGACATGTCCCACCCGTCCCCCCCGTAAATGACGCCTATGAACCTTTTGACGATTGCTTCTTAGTCAAATCTCCATGAGGTCTATGAGGCGATGGAGGTTCTGGTTGAATAGCTAGGTCTTCCAATGTATCATCATTGGACTCACGCTCGGATTCACATGGTAAAATCTACGCCATCGTTACTGTCAGTGTGTACAATCGCAGAGGCCTGAGGAAGCCTCCGGAACTGAAATTCAGTTATGGTAAGGTTGTTTTGTTTCCGACATGCGCTGTAAGCAGAAGACCAATCACAACAGACTGGGCCGACTGGCCAATCAGAGCAGAGTAGCTCACGGAAAGAAGGGATTTAGATAGACTGAATGAGAGTTATTGAAAAAAGTTGTGATGTGCAATGTTTATTATGAGAAAATGAAAGTGTTTTTTGACCTTTGATGCATGTAAACCTGTTGAAGGAGACCTCCAAAACTAAATTAGGAACCTTTAAAATAGCATAAAATACTTGAAAATATATTTTAGGTTCTAATTTTTAAATGCAAAATTTCTGTTTTGTGGGGTGAAATATGACCCAAACATATACACAAACCTCAAAACATGTTCAAAAATAAAATAGATTTTTTATTAAATCCACAAAATTGTATTGTAAAACCTAAATTTAGCTAGAAGTATTTTAAGCCATTGGAGGACATGTGTTAGTTATTTTTGCACCATAGCAATCAGCCAGACCAAAGTAAAATCCTGTCAGTGATCTTAACATTAACACTTACAATTTCTTCAGAAAATGAAAAAATAAAATGCAGTTTATGTGTTAAAGTTATTCAGGTATTTTTTTAAATGGACTATTAAGCATTCTGACATAATCCCGTCAGTATTCAGTCATTGATGGAGAAACACAAAAACAAGAGAGAAATGTTTGCTCAATTATATAAACATGCCGTTGGGTCTTGAGAACGTCAGTCCATGAATTTTTAATCCAAAGTTTTCATCATTGTAACTTTGATTTCTCCTAAACTCAGAACAGATCTCAGAACCTCAGCCGATCCGTGAGTCCTGGCCACCTGCCGTTTTCACATTTCTCTGTGTGGGGCATTTGAATATAGTTGTGTCACTTCCCCTCCCCTGACCCCTTGGATTTCAGCCATTCAACAGCAGAGCCAGCTGACTCATATTCACCCAGCAAACCCTTCTCTAGCCTGGGGAATGCACACTGAACTGTGATCTGCTCTTGAGCTGTGTTCCAAAACTACAACATTGTGAACTTTGTGGCTTTTTCTTTTTAGAGAGGTAGCTATTTAATAAGACAGTATCCTATTAGAAATTAAAACTCATACACTACTGTTCAAAAGTTTGGGTTTGGTAAGGTTTGCAATTCGAAATAGGTCTCTAATGCTCACCAAGTCTGCATTTATTTTTTCAAAAATACAGTAAAAACAGTATAATTGTAAAATTGTCATGATCCCAGCCTGGGGTTTCCTGTTTTGTGTTAGGACTTTTATGTTGAAGTGTTTTCTGTTGCCATTGTTTGTTCCTATAGCCACCCTTGTTTGTTACCATAGTTACCCTTGTTAGTTTCCACGACTACAAATCACCTTCACCTTTCCCTTGTTATCTTGTGTATAAATACCAAAGTGTTTCTTGTCTGGGGTTCGTACCATGATGGTAGTTTAACAAACTCAGGGTTACAGAATTAGTTTCGAGTTGACCAATCCAATCCAATCCAAACCAACCCAACCCAACCCAACCCAACCCAACCCAACCCAACCAGGCTTTGTTAGTACCATGATGTTGATCATCAACTTTCTCTGTCATCTCAGGTTTTGATCCTGAGATTAGGAGTTTAGATATGACATCAGTAGTGAACAGCCGATCACATGGGGTGGAACAATGAAACTACGATTCACTTCCCACGAGAGAAGCAGCGCGATTCACTTCTTTCTTCTGCAGAATATTACGAGATTTAAAAATATGAAGAAATTATGTAAATTTACTAACCAAGAGGAAAATAGCTGTCTATGAAAGAGGACAACTAAAAGAAAAAATCTTGCTATATCAGTGCAAGTAGAAGTTGTGAAGTTAGTTTATATACTGTAGTTTATAGAGAGAATTGAACATTTAAGCTCACATTTAGTCATTTTTATAGCTTTATCTATTGATTCTAGAGCTTATTTATATTACCTTTTATATTATATTTATATTAATTTAAGCTAAGTGCTTAATAATTATTGATAAAGTAAAATTGTACATACTTAATGGATTAAGGGTATAATAATTACATAAATAATATCTAAATCATACAAAATTATTATTCTAAATAAGCATTGCTAAAAGCCAAATGATTTTGTCTTTAAAAATGATTTGCTATGTAGTGAACTTTAATTTGGAGTAGAAACGGGGGGAGTGACTTTATCGCATCAGACATGTGTCACTTTGCTCACAGCTGATCCAGGGTTGGCACAAACAAAACTGAAACATACATTCATGGTATAGGCCCCTGGTGCTGTCCTTCTTTGAATGTTACGTGTGTGCTTGTTGTCAGTTTTGTTTGCCTTCCTTGCCCGTGTCTGGATTTACTTTTATTATGTTTGTTTGAATAAATGTTTGCTGCTTCTGGATCCTACTCTCGTTCTTCTGAAACAGCCACTGTAACCTACCTTTTTTTCCCAGGATTCTTTGATGAATAGAAAGATCAAAAGAACATAATTTATTTTAAATAGAAATCTTTTGTAACATTATACATGTCTTTACTGTCACGTTTAAGCAATTTAATGACCCCAAACTTTTGAACAATAGTGTACACAAGTGATTTGAGATGTCTCTATAGACAACAACTCTGTCTGACAATAAAAAAATATATATATAG